TGGTCGGAGGTTTTTTCCTCATTATGTACTGCTTGCTGCAGGATTTTTTTTATATGGTACACACTGACCACACAGACCCATTCTGTCACATGTGGGCCTACCAGCTTTGCCTTGCTTGATTTGAAGCCGCTAGAATTTTTGAGTACACCTACCATCCGACTTACGACCTGCTCGACATACGACCACTCGACTTACGACCGTGTTTTTTATGCCAAATTTCTGGGAAATAAACAACTATTTGTGTTGTACCTTACAGTATAAAATACAGTACTAACAGCATAAAAAGTAAAGTAAAACATGAAATACCAAAATAAAACAATAAAATAAAGTCATTACAAGAATATGATGTTGATACTCAGTAGTAAAGTTCGACTTACATGCATTTCGACTTATGACCAGTTTCTCAGAGCCGAACTCAGTCGTAAGTCAGATGGTACCTGTATGTATACGTCAAACACTGTGGCTCTTAAGACGTACATATACGACTGAAAGAGTCAAAGGGTTAAAGGCTAGCCTCTGGAACAGATTAAAGGCATTAGCCAAGGGTCCACTGTATGTGACCGACCCTTAACCCTTTCAGGGTCCACAGGCCCTCTCAGAGACTTGTTCTCAGGGTCCCCCAAATTTAAAAAAAAAAAAAAAAAAAATTTTCTTATGAAAAGACAGAGAATCTTTTCCCGATCATAATGACACCAAAAGTATGAAATTTGATGGAAAACTTATGGAATTATGCTCTCGCGATATTAGCGGTCTTGACGATGTTTACGCATCAGCAATTTTACATTTTGAACCCTATTTTCGGCTAATTCCAGTATACTAGTAGACAAAAATCATAACCATTTCGCTAGAACTCCATTTTTTCTATCGAATGAGTACAAGAAACCACCCATTTACCAATTTCAACTATCCAATACAGTAGTCAGAATTTAGCAATTTTGCCAATTTCACACAAATTTCAAAAGATGCCAATTTCCAAATAGGGTCCAGAATAAACAAGAAAGACATTCCTGACACTAAAATAACAAGTTCTCTGTTCGTTAGTCACATCCCCAGGCCCCTCTTATATTTCTTTGGCTTTCCACTTTCAATTTTCATTCTTACAAAAAATAGAAGTTTTACTGCTATGCAGACTACTGCATTAGTGTAGAAATGGTATAAATAATATCAGCGCACTTGTGAAAGAATATTAGACTCACCAGTTGACATGTATTAGACGCTTGGCATGATTTGTTTACTTTTGAACTTTGGTAAAAATCGAACATTTCTGCTACTTTGAGCTCAATTTCAAGGTACTTTTCATTGTAAAACCAGTCAAAATCATCTCAATTTCTGTAATATGTCTTCCATTCTATAAAATGAGGCCAGAAAAACTAGAATACAACAATAAATACCATACGAAAATGCAGTGCAAAGTCGCTGTTTTAATCCAAAAACACGGTCAAAGTTTTTTTTTTCTCATTACACACTGTGTGTTGCAGGATTTTTTTTATACTGTGCACACTGACCACATAGACCCATTCTTTCATATCTAGGCCTACCAGCTTTCTCTCACTAGATATGAGGGCACTAGAATTTAGGCGTACTAGTACGTCAAAAACCCTGGGGCATAAGCCGTACTAGTACGGCCGAAACCCTGAAAGGGTTAAAGAGCTAAACTACATTATTTGTAAGGTTTAACCCTTTCACTGTTGGTCCCAAAATATTACGGCTTGCAAGCCAGTGTCAGTTCCATAATAGTACGCCAAAATTCTAGCAGCTTCCAATCTTGCGAGAGAAAGCCGGTAGGCCCACATATGAGAGAATGAATTCGAGTGGTCGGTGTGCGCATTATAAAAAAAAATCCTGCAGCACGCAGTGCATGAGAAAAAACTCCAACAGTGTTTTTGTTTAAATCAGTGACTTTGCAGTATACAGTCTCCCCTCACTTAGCGAAGTACTGTACTTGTTTACCAATGACTCGGACTTACGACAGGCTTTCTGACCAGTCTGTATAAATAAATAATGTATATTTGAGCTGATTTCCTCTATTCTGTTTACTACAATATACAGTACACTACTATATAAACATTTAAAAACATACCAGAAATGTTATACGTAAATGGTGCATAGGTGACATTAAACAATATCAAAGATGGTCGACACAAACTCACTACCATTATAGTATGCTCCTCATTTAGCGACAAATTCGTTTATCAACGTGGTCTTAGGAATGCGTAAATATCACCAAGACTGCTTACTTTGCGAGAGTGTCATTCCATAAGTTTTCCATCAAATTTTGTACTTTTGGTGGCATTACCATCGGGAAATGATTCTCTATAATTTCATAAGATTTTTTTTTTTTTTTTGAAAATTCTTCGACACTGAGAGCAAGTTTGTGAGCAGGGGTCTTGACAGTGAATGGGTTAATGAAATAAACATCATTATCATTAACCATAAAATTGATGAAGGTAAAAATAAGGGGTGGTACATTAAGGCATCTGTGAAGACAAAGAGTTTTATCCATGGAGACAAAAAGGGAAATGTATCAGTCTAGTGATATTAACAACGTTGTAGGTGTGAAGCATGGGTTTTGAATGTTGAAAATTAGGACATAGCCAGAGACAGCAGACATGTCACGTTTGAGGGCAATGTGCTGTGAGAATACTTTGCGGAGAATTCAAAAATTTAAATTAGGTGTAGAATTTTCAAAAGAATTATTCAGAGGGCTGAGAAGGGATTGTTAGCCCTTTGAGGGTCCAAGCCATAGATCTACACCTTGTCCACAGGGTCCAAGCCATAGTTCTATGCCACGAGCTCAGCTCACTCACATAAGCTGTGAGCGGTAAATTTGGGCCTAGATACGAGAGAATGGATCTATGTGGTAAGTGTGGACCATATAAAACAAATCTTACAGCACTTAGTGCACGAGAGATAAAAAAAACTGTGATTGTGAGTTTGGATTAAAACACTGACTTTGTGATGTATTTTCGTATGGTTTTTACAGTTGTATTAGCGGTTTCTTGGTCTCATTTAATAGATTGGAAGATATATTAGTACTGAAAATAGCTTGAAATTGAGCTCAAAGTAGCAGAAATGTTTGATTTTTGCCAGTGTTCAAGACTAAACAAATGACGTCACACATCTAATACACGTCAACTGGTAGGTCTAATGTGTGTTCATGAATGCGCTGATATTATTTATACTGCACAATTATTACAATATTGCCTAACAGTATATCTTCTATTTTTTTGGTGTGAATAAAAATTCTTCATGTATATAAAAAATCTGAAAAGAATTCATCTGTAAAGCCTGGAAACATAATTAATAAACAGAGGAAATGTTAGTTTAGGAATGGCTGCATTGAAGACGAGACACTTATGCAACATATGGGAATCTTTATTCAGGAAACGTTTCGCCACACAGTGGCTACATCAGTCCAATACAAAGTAGGAAGGTATAAGGAGAGGAGGAGTTTGAGGTAATCAGTCCCTCAGCCTGGAGTCGATGTGTTCAGTCCATCAATCTTGTAGAATGTACAGCACAGGGCTGTAGACGTAGCTTATATACTGTAGTCAGGTGAGGCGAAGCAGGAGGAGGCGAGATCATAGTGGTACCATCTACTAGTCGAAGTAGGTCTTCGTCCAAAGGTTGGACGAGTGTTGAAGAATTCTTTGTAACAAGATCCCATGATGATGCAGTGTCTGACAGTTGTGATGAATGGTTTGAAAAACCGACAAGTTGAAGATTGAGACACTTATGCAACATATGGGAATCTTTATTCAGGAAACGTTTTGCCACACAGTGGCTTCATCAGTCCAATACAAAGTAGGAAGGTGTAAGGAGAGGAGTAGTTTGAGGTAATCAGTCCCTCAGTCCCTGCCTGATTACCTCAAACTACTTCTCTCCTTACACCTTCCTACTTTGTATTGGACTGATGAAGCCACTGTGTGGCGAAAAGTTTCCTGAATAAAGATTCCCATATGTTGCATTAGTGTCTCAATCTTCAACCTGTCGGTTTTTCAAGCCATTCATCACAATGCCTGCATTGTCTATTCTGGACCCTACTTTGAAATTGGAATATCTTGAACATTATATGATATTGGACAAATTACCAATTTCTGATCACTTTGTTGGATAGCTAAAGTAATTGATTGGGCAGTTTCTTGTGCTCAATCAATAAAATAGTAATATACTAGTAAACAGCTAAGAATTTGGTCAACTGGAATAATGTAACTGGCCTAAAATAGGAGTCAAACTGGGCAAAATTGCCAATCCGTAAACATCGCTGACGCAGTAAAATTCGTGATAGAGTGATTTCGTCAATTTTCCATCAAAATTCGTACTTTTTGCTTTATTACCTTAAGAAAAAGATTCTCTACCCTTTCATAAGAAAAAAATAAGAATTTTTTTTTTTTAAATTATTGGGCCCTGTGGACAAAGCCTAGAACTATGATTTGGACCTTCAAGGGGTTAAGGTTTGGACATTTAGAATGGGTGGAAAAAAACAGTATGACTATGAGGACAGATAAATCTGGGGTGGAGGGAAGGGGTAAGGGTCATCCTAGGAAAGTTTGGAGAGAGGCAGTATAGGAGGTTTTCAGTGCTAGGGTTTGGACATCCAACAGGCCTGTGTGAGTGAGTTAAATAGGAGTGAAGGCAAGTGGTTTTTATGATTGGATGTGCTGATGGAGTGTAAGCAAGGTAAAATTTATGAAGGGATTCAGGGAAACTAGTTAGCCAGACTTGAGTCCTGAAGGTGGTGAGTACAGTGAAGGAAGGTTGGGGATGTTGAAGTTTGGAGGGTTATATGAAATGTGAATGAATAAATGACATTAACAGTGTATTCATCTTTGTCAGATTACCCTACCTTGGTGCGAGACAGCCGAGGTGTTAAAAAATCTATTAAATCCTCCCTTGCCAAGCATCTTTGTTCTTTTATATGCCAGGAAAGCATAAACCTGACCTTTTCTCTTATTTTGATTCATGCTGGACAAGAGAAATGCAGTAGTTGCTAAACTTACCAGTAAACAGAATCTCTGAGACCCATCATTTTCATACTTTCTTTAATTTTTTTCTCCTTCTCTTCCACTACTAGATTCATCAAATAAACGATGAACTGGGCCCAAGCAAACACCATGTAAAGTGGAACAATGTTACGCAGAACAAATCCTCCATTTGATTCATAACTCTCCTTGGGGAAATTTTCCAAAATCACATTTGGAATTCCTATCGTTGTATTAGTCTTCATCTGAAATAAAATAAAAATTTATAAGTAATATAGAGATGCTTGGATTTTTAATTTATATACTATCATGCTGTTTAACAATCTATATGTTATTTTTACGAGTAAAAATCAAAATAGGGTATTTTTACAAGGTAGGAGTTGTCACAGATATATTTTGCTAACTGCATGGTATTCTAAGAAGAAGTTGCGAAGGCTGGTAAAGGAATTCAAGAAGGAATGAAAAAGAAAGGCCAGGGGAAGGGGGTAAAGGTTTCGAGTGTTAGGGCTTGGACATCCAAAAGGCGTGTCTGAGTGTGTTAGACAGGAGTAAGTGGGGGGCAAGTGGTTTTTATAATTTGATGTGCTGTTGGAGTGTGAGCAAGAGAACATTTATGAAGGGATTCAGAGAATTCAGTTAACCAGACTTGAGTCTCAGAGGTGAAAATGAAAGTGCCTGCACTCTGAAGGAGGGGTGGGGATGACATACAGGGTTATCTGAAGCTCATACATAAAAGGTTATACAGTAGAACGTTATATTACATGAATTTATTTGCCAAGTTTTGGTTACTGCACTAGTGAAAAATTACAAAACAATTTTAAACAACACTTCATAAAATTAACATGACTCACGAAATTGTAATGACACGATTGCAAACAAACCATACCATGGGTGGGGTTTGAACCCACGGTCAGAGAGTCTAAAAACTCCAGACTGTCATGTTAGCCACTGTCTAACGCTAACGTGATGGTCTGGAGTTTTGAGACTTTCTGACCGCAGGCTCAAACCCCTCCCGTGGTATGGGTTTTTTCTTCGTAAAATTAGCTGAACACAGTTCCGTTTGTAGGCATGAAAAAAATTTACCCAGCTCAAGCTGCCGCCTTGTTGTGGGTCAGACCATTGACTGACTGACATACTGACTTGTTGACTTACTTGACTGAATTACTGACTGACCTGATACCTTACCGGCATCTGTATAATGTACTGCAGGGTGAAATAGAACAGAAATCCATTACAGAATTTATGCACACTCCAGTGCAACCACTGACTTCAGTACCAGAACCTCTACCATCCACCTCAGCCCAGTAGGACCACAGCATAACTCTCCACTCTCTTCACAGTCATTGACAAGCACCAGCACCCACAATTTAAGGTAAGAAATACTATTACAGTGGTACCTCGGGATATGAACAGCTCCCAACTCAAACAATTATGTAAGTGTATTTTTCTAAGTGCTTTTGTAAGTGTATTTTTGAGGGTCTGAAATGGATTAATCTAATTTACGTTATTCCTTGTGGGAATAAATTTGTTTGGTATCAGCACTTGAACAGCCTTCTTGAACGAATTAATTTTGGATCCCGAGGTACTGCTGTATTTGTTGCATTTGTAGTCTTAACCCCTTAACTGTCCAAATGTAGATCTACAGTCTTACCGCTAGTGCTCCAAGTGTAGATCTACGTTTTATTTTTCCTGCCTCCAAATTTGGCACGATTGGCCTGGTCAGCATAGAATGGGTCTTGACTCTCGGTGTGCGTTGTATTAAAAAAATCTGAGACCACTTAGTACCCTGTGGGAGCACCAGTTCCATTGAGCACTCCCCTTTTAAGAGGAAATTGTCATCCTGCCAAAATGTCCTATAACCTATGCCCCAAGTAAAAAGAAACAATTCTGGAACTGTAATTTCGGCAGGCTGGCTGGCCAGCTGATTGGCTGTCTGTATCTCCGTCTGTTTGTCTGAATCTATCTCTGTCTCTATCTCATAGGAACATATATGTAAATACAATTATACATAATGTATATTACTTAGGATAACCCAAAAAATCCAGACAAAATGCTTGGCCAGTTGGCTGACTGATTGGCTATCTCTATCTCTGACTGTCTGTCTGTACCTATCTCTGTCTTTATATCTGTCTTTATCTCACAGGAACTCATACATAAATACAATTATACAAAGTGTAAATTACCTAGGATAACTCAAAAAATCCAGACAATGTTCTATACTATGCTTGTAGAAAGTGATCGTGTGTAATACCAGCTGGTTCGTGAGCAACTCTCTGAGATAGACAGATAGATAGACAGACAGATAGATAGACAGACAGATAGATAGACAGACAGACATGCTTATGTGTAAGAGTGAAAACAAATAAATGAAGGCTTATCAAATGTCACCACTGTCATTAGCGGTGAGATAAGATAAGACGACCCTCATCAAATGTCACCACTGTCATTAGCAGAATGATAAATTCCCACTTGCGACAGTATATTCCACCTCTATTCAAAAGTCTATATTTGCTTACCATAAAAAACATCCACACTTATTCATGTGCCTACTACATACATAGAACAATACATGCAAACATAAACCCTCCACATAAACTTCTCCTCACCAACCTTAACAGGACACATGACCACAAGACAAAGCTCTCTTTTTGATGTACTCTGTGTCCATATCACACTGTGTAAAAACTCTATGCACATAAAGGGCCCCAAAATCTAGAATTCATTACCAGAACATACTAAAGTAACCAGGCCTGAAAATCAATTTAATACTTCTAAAAAACCACTTACTCGCCCAGGACTAAATAATCAACACTCAATATTTAAGATCACCAATAAATCTCCCAATTACTTAAATCTTAAAACTTCAAGACAACACACAGTAAACTGATCATCTTGTTTGTTATACATTGTAATGCGACAAATTTGTACACCTATAATGCTTCAAAATCTTAATGTTCAAATTTCATTGTTTCAAATAATCAATTGTACTTCATACTGTAAATTGTTTACGGTAATTTTTACCACTGAACCTATCATTGCTTGGTTAATTTTAAGTCAATTTTAAGCCTGGCCATAATGCTCTACATACAAGGGGCTGTTGGCATGTACACCCAACTACTATAATTCCTTGTACAATTATGTATCATGTCCAGATAATTTTATTATTATTATTATTATTATCACACTGGCCGATTCCCACCAAGGCAGGGTGGCCCGAAAAAGAAAAACTTTCACCATCATTCACTCCATCACTGTCCAGATAAACTATATGAATATGAATATAGAGACAAGATAAGATGACACTCATCAAATGTCACCACTGTTATTAGTGGGGTGATAAGATAAGATGACCTCTCATTAGTGTCAGCAGTGGAGTGAAGAGATAAGACAAGTGAAACACTTTTATATCAAGCATCAAGGGAACTTATTATTATTATTATTATTATTACAGTGGATCCTCGACTTATATTAATCCGTTCCAGAGAGCTCATCATTAGACAAAATTATCTTAAGTTGAATTAATTTTTCCCATAAGAAATAATGGAAATCCAATTAATCTGTTCCATACACCCAAAAGTATGAAAAAAAAAAAAAAGTTACCACATGAAATATACATTTTCCTACACACAAAAAGGATACATGCACAATATACTACATTGTGCATGTACTGTACTAAATGAAGAATAAATGACACCTTTATTGAAGATGTAGTTATGAATAATGGGATGGGAGGAGGGGAGATGGAGGTTTATTATTTTTTGGAAGGGGAATCCCCTTCCATAAGGACTTTAGGTTGCAAGCCCTTTTCCGGGGTTACTTCCCTTTTTTGTTTTTTAATGCCACTGAGAACAAACTGAGAGTCACTGGACCTCTGTTGCACCAAAAATTTGTCCATAGAGCTCTGTACCTCGTGTTCCTTTAAGATTTTCCTAAAGTGGGTCACAACACTGTCATTGTAAAAGTCACCAGCACAGCTTGCAATAGCTGTCAGGGTGATTTTCTTCCGTAAAGGTTTACATGTCAACCCACTTTGCACAAATTTCCTTAATCTTTGAAGAAGGCAACTTCTTCAATTTCTCTCTTCCCTCCTCTGAAGCAATTTCCTTAGATCTGGCCTCTTGCTGTTGCAGATGCTCTTGCAGCTCATCAGTGGTTAGTTCTTCATCGTCGTCCTCCACCAACTCTTTCACATCCTTCCCACTAACCTCCAACCCCAAGGACTTCCCTACTGCCACAATAGATTCCACAACTGGCATAGGCTCCTCAGGGTTAGCCCCAAACCCTTCAAAATCCCTCTCTTGTACACATTGTGGCCACAATTTCCTTCAAGCAGAGATCAAGGTTCTGTTAGTCACTCCCTCCCAAGCCTTACCTATAAGATTTATGCAATTGAGGATACTAAAGTAATCTTTCCAAAACTCTCTTAGGGTCAGTCGAGTGTCTGAGGTCACTTCAAAGCACTTTTGAAACATTGCTTTGGTGTACAGTTTTTTGAAATTTGAAATGACCTGCTGGTCCATGGGCTGGAGGGGAGGAGTGGTATTAGGATGCAAAAACTTTACTTTAATAAAACTTAACTCCCCTGAAATTCGCTCTGGCAAGTCTGAAGGATGAACAGGAGCATTGTCTAATACCAGGAGGCACTTAAGGTCCAATTTATTTTCCAGGAGGTAATTTTTCACAGTGGGGCCAAACACATGGTAAAACCAGTCACAGAGAATGTCCCTAGTGACCCATGCCTTATTGTTTGCCCTCCACATCACACACAAATTAGCCTTGACGACAATATTTTTCCTGAACACTCTGGGAGTTTCAGAGTGATACACCAATAAAGGCTTCACTCTGCAATTTCCACTAGCATTACTACACAACATTAAAGTAACCCTGTCTTTCATAGGCTTGTGTCCTGGGAGTGCTTTTTCCTCCTGTGTAATGTAGGTCCTGTTTGGCATTTTCTTCCAAAACAGGCCTGTTTCATCACAATTAAACACTTGTTGGGGTTGCAATCCTTCAGCCTCTATATACCCCTGGAATTCCTGCACATATTTTTCAGCCGCTTTTTTGTCTGAACTGGCAGTCTCACCATGCCTTATCACACTGTGTATGCCACTATGATTCTTAAATCTCTCAAACCAACCTTTGCTGGCCTTAAATTCACTCACATCACCACTAGTTGCAGGCATTTTTTTAATTAAATCGTCATGCAACTGCCTTGCCATTTCACATATAATCACTTGAGAGATGC